GCTTTCCTCGTTTCACATCGACGATTGCTTCAATGACTTGGAGAAAGTCAGCACCGAGGATAGTCTGCTTTGGGTCCGGTGGCACGATGAAGAGATGTTTTAACTTCCAATCCCTAACGCCAACCACTTGTTCCGCCGTACCATCTATGCGTATATGGTAACCACCGACCGCCTTCATAACCATGGAACACGCTTGCGTTTTCACCCCATCTCTGTGACTGACTACGGAAACTGCGGCTCCTGTATCAATCAGACACTCCACTTTCCCATTCTCTACCATCGCCTCAATCGCACCTTTATTCAACGCCCCAAGGACTCACTGCCCACCACGAGAACAGTACGATGGGTAGCATTTATTTCGTACAAAGGCTGCATTACGATTTGAGGGGCATTGGCGCTTCCAGTGTCCCAGTTTCCCATAAACGAAGCAGCGTCCCTTCAGCCGTGTCTTCTGTGAGGGAAATCGGCGCCTCGATGTCTTGCGTAATCTGTTCCAGTCTCTTCTAACTCGTCCAATCGCTCTTGCTTTGTCAACGCAGCAACTGCTTCATGTGTAAGCTCCCTCGCTACTTCGACAAGCCCCATCACGCCAGTTCTATGGGTGGCGTTTACAATCCGGAGCGGACCAGCTACCGTCAGAGGGAGACCATCCAAAAACTGTTCCACTAACAGTTGTTGTCTTGACTCGTCATTCAAGTTAGGCAGCGCCTGGGCCAGCAATTCACTGATGTGGACCGCAAAGACGAACGGGTCCACTCCAAGCCGGGCCGCCTTAGACCGCCGCATCGCGTCTAGGCGGTCGGCCGGGCTGTAGAACCCCGCAACCCGTGTCTCCTTCGCAGCGGCCTATTCCAACTTGATAGGGCCCCTTCGCGCCGCATCTAGAATAGCCCTCGCCCTGCCGTTGAGGAGGCCCAGCAGGGTAGCCAACTTCGGCCGGTCCTGCTTCAGCCCGAATGCCTCTGCAACATCCTCGAAGGGCTCACCTCCGTATATCGCCATCCTCAAAGGGCTCCGGTCACGGAATCTTCATTGCCCACTTGCAGCTGGTCACGGGAGCAAATGTTGAGAACGCAATAGGGAGAAGACAGGCTGTTTGTTGGGGAATGCATGCCTCGTTAACTTAGTAACTCGAACATAGGAACCCGAGTCGACTTTGCGGTACCTTTCCGGAGCGATGCGCCGTTGAAATCTTCCATTCACCGACTATCTGTCTAGATTGCCTCGTGCCTCTCGTGTACGTCGTCCGGTTGCTTTTCAACCACCCCTTCGTCTGGCGGCATCTCATGATTTACTTGTTTCCCTTGTGCGCCCTCGTTGATATCCCTACTACCCATGAGTAGTGCACCACAGGCTTAAATCGCATCTGTGTGTATGCTGCGTTTGGACGTGTGCTTCTGACGCGCGACCATTGGTAAGCCCGCTAAACCGTAGCACACCGGAAGTTGGGTTGATAATACATCCTGCTCGCAATATAGGGGTTTACTAGCACCTGTTATGCAGCTCAAAATAGTTTCTTCCATAATGTGCTTACGGGGTTTTCTGAATTCTACATACCGTACGGTCGAGCAGTTAAATGGAATAACTGTCGTTCTTTGGAGTTCTAGTAGGAGGTCATGGAAACAGTGTGTTCAGTTTCAAAAAGAGGATTATTACATGTGCCTTAATTAGATCTGAGTTCTCCACCTTTAGGCTGCATATTATCACGGAACTGGCTTTTACCGCTGATTGTGTAGCGATATAGTCCTTCATGCACTCATTTGGCTTATTTACAAGTTCACTAGGTCACATCTCACTAGGTTACATCTCATAAGCCAAGATACAACCGATCTCATCGCAGTTGTTTAACTACAGGTCAGGTTAATTACCACGCGTGGTCACTTATTCCTGACAGGGATCATCCGGTTAAACAGCTGGTTATTGGAGAACCCGCATTCTACGATTTGCAGTGACTTGTTATAATGAAATATAAATAACTAAATTTGTATATTTACCGACAGGCAGTTTACGACCTCTGAGCGGGAGCGATCATGAGCTGGGGATCAAAGCACCCTGGTTAATAGGCGCCTGATACGATGGCAGCATATACACCATCCTAAAAACATTGTGAATTCAACTTTTCCACAACATTTAGGTTACTTGCGCCGTCAACCGGAATGCGTATTCTCTTATTCTTGTGACAACACAAATGTAAAATTGGAGAACTGTAACCGTCATTCTTTCATGCTACCTTCACGAATGACAGAGGCAAGCTTTGCCAAAACCATCAACTCCCGTAGTTGTATGCAGCCTACAAGATATAAACACATTGTGTTGCACTACTAATAAGTAGTATGGTGGAACGTGCACGCGCGATGAACTCAGCGATTAATGGATCACGACGGGCGACGGGCGCGTAGTGCATAATTCACTCAACCATGTGAACGGAGTGGTGGGCCTATACTACACCGTCACGGCAAGCTGAGTCGATAGCACATAGCAGAGCCTAGAATGAAATGGCATAACAAACGAAGTGCGCAAATGACTGCGGCCCTTCTATGTTCGAAATGTACACGTTCGTTCTCCAAGACGCGACTCACTTGCGTTAACCCATGCGTTGACCCATCTGTTGCAGAACGGCAGGCTTTCGCTGTTCCACGGCGTAGATTTGTTGATCCACTGGTGGATTTTGTGTTCTCCGAACAATCAGAAAAGGCCGATGACATCCAACTGGTCCTCAGTTATGCTTTCGGCGCTCACACTTTGAACTAGTCTCCACATACTATGCAAACTTCGTAGTGTGACTTAGCAATGCTTGAAACCACAGAGGAAGGAAAAACTATGTCAAAGGACCATATCACCATACATACCCGAGAAAACGGAAAGAAATCGGTTTTCGGTAGGCGCTATTGACGACCACGTAATAAAAAGTGCTTCTTCACTCGTCATGGACACGCATCCCATTGTTTCAATATTCCGTGCTCTAATGGGTAGGCGTGCATAATTTGATCTTTCAATATTCGCCCTGACTATCGTAGGAGATTTGTTAAACACTAAATCTCTTCTTCATAATCAGTCAAATTTCCATATTTCATGAGCCGAGACGTTGAACTCGACTGAAATGAGAGCAGTCATCAGAATATGGATGCATCCGTTGAGAGCGAAGTCCCCTAGGGGTGGACTCATTGCTGGTCCACATAAATGTCAGCCCTCTTATTCTAAACGCGAGGATACAGAGCACTTCGTCCTCTTACCAAATGGATTACTATGGGAGCATTTTCTCTTCCACTTGCCAGTGGAACACATCTCATTCTGATGATGCCGACCCCACATACCATCAGGGAAACAATATTAAAAAGAGGCGACATTATAGCCGGCAGCCAGTAGCACATATGAGTGCAGAATTTTTTCATCTGCGATCAAAATTAGTAATCCCATCAATGAGTGATTTAGCCATAATGGACGACATATCTGGATAGAACTGGAGCGACAGCCCCGGGTCATTACGTTGTCATAGTAACAGCTCATTGTAAATCTAAATGAGTGAACTGCGGATACTCGATCCCTATGAGCTGTCTCACATCCGGATCCGGTTATGAATGTGCCGGCTAATGTTGGAAGGTTTGTATTCAAAACTTGCTCAATTTGAACCGATGGAATGATGAAAGGCAATATGCATTCTAGGCCGTATAATGGTCTTTCGAGCCAAACGGACATGGAAGCGGTTACTGCTACCCCCAAAGAGGAGCAGACTTGACTGATCCGAGATACAACAATTAGTTGCCTTCACAAGCCACGGTACAGATAGTTATTACGAGTGGCAATCCACATGCACAATGGTTCCTTATTGGCACAGTGTTCGCTGTCATTTTGAGCTATTTGTCCGCATGTGTGTAACTGATGGGTCCCCAGCCGACAACACAGAGCTAGAGCAGTGTTTCGTAACTTTTTGCAGGCTGTTACCCACAAAGTGGGTTTAGTATAAACAATTACCCCCCCCCCCCCGAAAAGGTTCGGTTGGAATATAGACTTACCTGTTAACTATTACATTTTTTGCTTTAACTTATGGAAATTGAATACTATACTTATTTACATTTTATCATCAAATAAAGCACAGTTATTTTGAGTAATTTTTCTTTTAGTAGGTGGTGATGTACGTTAATGAGACAGTTGTTGTTGCTTAGTGCCAACAATTTTTGATATATTTGCTGCGCTTTCGGCAAATGCACATCCTAAGTCGTGCTCCAAGTTCATTCAGTTCTTTGTTTTGGCGTGTGATCCATGTTAAATATGAACAGATTTCAGTGGCTTCCCATTTGTTTCGACCATCATCTGCAACTCCGTCCTCGATGACAACTTCCCCGAACACTCTGTATCGATAAGTCCTGAACATTAATTGCCTGTTTTCTCCCTTCTACCTTGCCAAAATTCGCCGGCTTCTTTACCTAATCGTCTGACTTTAGTGTTCACTCAATTCCGTAGCTCAACCAGGCGAACGACTGATTGACTCAAAAGAACAACGATCGATGAGCTAGACGACAAAGGTCAACTAGCTGCGATGCTTTGCAGGCTTGTATTTGTATCATGGGTTATGAAATTTATTATCGAACATTCTCCAATTCATTGACCACTCACTAATGATTAGTCCCTGATGGCTAGTCAATAGTGATTAGGCAGTTAGTTAATCGGTTTGATAAAGTTGCTTTTGTTATTAATTTTGTTTGACGATAGATTGATGACCCAATCCTGGTACTTATATTTACAATGCTATTTTACCCCCTTGGGGGTAACTACCTCCAGAATGTGAACCACTGGGCTAGAGGGACTGATGTGGCTCAGCATCTTACGCACAGCCGTTTATCACATATGCCAACCAGTGTAGCATACCAATCCACTGTACTACATAGCATGGAGTATTAGCGCATGTCATAGTTAACGAAGCAATTGTTGCGGACCATGTACGAAATATGGGTATGACCGTTGATGTTGGCCGACAATGTCAGCTATATACGTGTCGTTACCTGTATCACAAGACGATAGAGCTCAGCCGGTTGGGGGTTTCCGACCACATCTGTTCCGGCCAACATCAGATCCAGTGCAAACAAAGGTTCATTTGGACGTTGAATATGCTGGAGGTACTGTCTGAGGCTTTTTAGGACCATCTAGTGAAGGGGATTACAATGGTGCAGTAAAGTGTCAGATATGATCGCCAGAGAGAATGGTGCGTGAACTATAAGATTATTACAAAGACAAATAATGCGGATTTTAGCGGCAAGCGGAACTACCATAATCTAACAAACGGTCATCGTGGAACCACTTAGCGCGGCATAGTTTCAATGAAGAATGTCATAGTTGGAGGATATGTTTATATCGACTGTGAAAACGCAGTGATGGGCTCCAGCTCGTAAACAACTCATGGTATGAGGGACATGTTGTCTAGAAAACCATTTGTTTTGAGACATTTGTGCTGTGTAACACAATAAATCACCGTGCCTCATAGATTATTTCCATAAACCAGTATACCACTGTGGCTTGCAAAAAAACGCCAAGTATGGAAGCGACATGCACTGAGGGAGAATAGCCCATCGATGTCGAGCACATGGTGCTGTAGCAATTGCGATCGCAAGTGCCGGGACCAAGCCGCCCTGGTAAGCCACCGGCTTGGCCACGCAGGTCCAACATCGAAACTTTGAAGAGTCAGCTGATTCAGTAAGCATCAGCGCAACGCTTGATAAGTGCGCTGCTTCCAATTCAACGTAATAAATTAGGCCAGTAAGACAGTCAATGTGGTACGTGTACTACATCATGGCTGCACTTGGTTTGTATGTGTGCTTGCGTGTTGAGTTTCTTGCAGTTCGGTGTTTGGCTGTTGATTGATATCCCCGGTGGGGCTGTGCTTGATGTGCAAGTTGACAAGATGCCTACCAGTCTAACGCCCTCCAGATCGATTGCTGGATCCAGGAGACTGTGAATCGTTGCTTGGGGAGACGAGGTGCATGACAATCGTGACAGCGCAAGACTCAAAAATTAGTTACATCTAGTGTGAAGTAAACTACGACCCAAGCACCGTCTTGTGTGCGTCTGGAATGCATGATTCCCATCGCGAAGAAACTGAACCTTAACGTGGTGCGATGGTTTGTGTGCCTCATTTACCCATTGGGCTACGCTACGTGGTGCGTTTTTGCACCTTCAGAGCCACTTATACCAGATTGGTCAAAGGTTAGAGGGCAGACTAACTCAGTCTTATGGCCCTCAAGGCTGGGGGTTGGAGCCTGGGTGGCTCCTTACTCCATAAAACTGGCTCTCTGTAGTCTAATGCCAAAACCCCGCTGCCTTGCGGTAAGGTTTTTGAAGCAAAGCCTTTGGTTGAGAATCCTAAACTTTCTCCTGTCTAGGCCTGCGCAACCTGACAGTAACCTGCCCACGCAATACACCAAGACCTTTCCTACGATCAATCGATTGATGCTCTAACCCCGGCAAAGGATAGTAAACGGCTCCTTATCTGCTGCATCGAGCATGGTAGATAGGGGTTTGGATGCTACTGCTCAAGCCTTCCCGCCTTCGTAGCCCCCCTTTTGCGCTTCTTCATACTTTGTGTCCCGTTCCAACTTTACGTTCATCCTCTCCGTTTTCAATCCCCAAATTATCGGCCCTCCCCCAGCTTGCTTCAACAGTCGCTTGTCTTCTAGTTTCAACTCACACGCAATCGCAGTGCGTCGCTTTAATCCAGCCGAAAAGTCCATGTTCAACCAAGCGGATAACGTCAGCTCATCCTTTTCCCTTTGGAGTCCTCGTGTCTCGCTAAGACTGGCATCCCTCAACGTGCGCACTTTGCTACAGATTGGCCAACAGGCAGCATTGCACGCACATTAGAGATCCTATCGATCGATATTTGCCGTTTATCGGAAACCCGCCTGCAAGATTCGAGCTCCGTGCTTATTCTGCGATCCCCCACGTGAGACACTGGCGGCACATTCTCATTGCGCCTGTCTGGCGATGAGGCAGCTTCAAATGCAGATCAAGCTGGCGTCAGCATTGTTTTGAGTCCCCTGGCTGAAGCTGCCCTAATCGACTGGATCCCTGCCAACAGTCGGATGTGCGCCGTTAGGTTGGCTGGCTCTTTCCAGGCTTCGAAGTCGCGCGGGGACTAACGATGCCTATTTGTCATTGTGGCTTACGCCCCCAAAAATTGCAGCTTTGATACGGTGAAAGATGATTTCTATCATCAATTTAACGATCATCTTCGTTACAGAAGGACCACGGATACTGTGGTGTTTGCTGGTGATCTAAACGCGCAAGTCGGAAAATTGTCCTCTGATGAGCTTCATCTGGGCGGCCAACATAGTGTAAGCTCCCGTAATGATAATCGTGAACGGTTACTACACCTGTGTGAAGGTGCCCATCTCTTTCCCGCGAGCACTAACTTTCGACCTAGCACCAGCAGAAGAGAGACTTGGCGCCCACCAGCCTGGGACAAGACATGGACGTAAATTGACCTTATCGGGATCAGTTGCCGCTAGAGTGGCTGTGTCCAAAACAATCCCTCGATTTGGAGTACCAGCCTGGACTCCGATCACGCTTTTGTGTATGCTGATCTGCCGGTGCGTCCGCAACGTCGCTTTGAGCGAATTGGCACCAGCCAGCTGGCGAAGCCAGGTGTTCTGAATGTGTATCAAACTAAGCTTGCCAGCGTAAGCGTCCACTGAACACTGTCGAAGATCACTGGTCGCATATTCGCCAAACGTTATTATTAGCAAGCAGATTTTTATGTGGTAAATCAAATTGCCAACCTAAACCTTGTGTCTCTGCCAAGTCTCTGAAACTTGCGGATGCTCGCCGAAGTATTCCGGCTGGAAGGGAATACAATGAGACTCGTAAAATTCTCAGGGCGAAATCGCGTGCTAGCCTGAAGAACGACCGCGAAACCTGGTGGCCTCATAGTGCATCGGAAATGGAAACATCCGCCGCCGTTGGTAATCATCGAAACTTTTGCCGTCTGATACGGGAACTAGACGGCAGAAAACCTGGTGTTAGCGAGACAATAGGCGACGAGAGTGGACAGCCGATCCACAGCTTGTCAAAACGCTTGGAGCGTTGAGCCGAACAATTTGCAAGGTAATGTAACCAACCTATCGCTTTCTCTTTCGGACATTGAGTCCATTTCTCCATGGACAGCCTCCTTAGATCCACTCTCACGCGCAGTAGTCGAATGTGAGAGCAGACAGTTAAAATTGCATAAGGCCGCTGGTGCAGATAGAATTCCCCCAGCTCTCTACAAATTCGGGGGACCTGCTCTTGTATATGATTTACACGAGTTGCTAATGGAACTTTGGGAGCAGCAAACTGTCCCGACAAACTGGAGCCGCTCCGTCATAGTCCCGATTTTCAAGGGAGGCTCCCGTTCGGAATGCGGTAACCATAGAGCAATTAGTCTGATCTCCCTCGCCTCCAAATTGCTTGCCTCTGTCGTTCTCCACAGATTGCCTGGCGCTCGTGAAGTACAGACACGTGAAAAGCAAGCTTGTGTTCGTCGAAATCGAGGCTGCATCGACCACATCTTCATTTTGCGTCAATTGTTGGAGCACCGCCATGTTTATTAGCGACCCACCGTTGTCGTATTTCTTGACATTAAAGGTGCTTTCGATTCGGTGGATTGATGTGCCCTTTGGGACGGTCTGGTGAGAAAAGGCGTGCCCGGTAAATATGTAAACATTAGTAAAGCGCTGTAAGCGCATAGTTCGGTCAAACTGAGGGTTTATGAAAAACTGTCGCCGCCCTTCAAATCACCAGAGGTGTGAAACAATGTTACTCGCTGTCACCTTTTCTCTTAACTTTGCTATTGACGGAGTCATGGAAACAGCGTTCGCTGGACACGACCTAGAATGTGTGAAGCTACTTCCTGATGAGCGACGTCTTGTCTTTGAGTATGCGGACGACATGGTCCTCATATGTGACAGCGCCCAAACGTGCCTGGGTACACTGGACCGATTAGCACTCGCTGTCTATCGTTTCGGGCTCTGTTTCACTCCATCGAAATGCAAAGTACTTCTCCAAGATTGGCAAGGACCTAGCTCTGCGCTAACCCTTGGTTGTGATCAGCTAGAAGTCGTTCAGGAATTCAAGTACCTGGGCAGCTATATTAGCGCCCGTGCAATAGAAGCTGAGATTACGAACCGTACAGCAAAAGCACGAGGTGCTGTTGCTAATCTCCGCCACCTGCGGCACAGACGCGACATCACTCTCCCTGAAGGTCAGCGTTTGTAAGGCAGCCGTCCGTTCAACCCTCTTATACGCTTGTGAAATCTAGCCCATCAGGTCAATCATGGCTGTCTCAACAGCTTAGCTCATGTCTGGCGGGAGCACCGCGTGAGCAATTACCGTATTCCGCGTCACGTGTTAGTTCAAGAAGAGCTAGTGAACCGCTCAGCACCATTATATCACGCACTAGGCTCCCATGGTTGGACCACGTGTTGCGCATGCCAGCACACCGACTTCCGCGACATGCATTGTTTGCGCGCCGGGGGTGCGGTTGGAAGAAGAAGAGAAGAGGTCAAGCGATGACTTGGTCGAGAGAAATGAAAACCCCCACTTCGAAGTTGGCGACCGTTGGTGCATCCCGAGTGTCTGGCTGGGGTCCTAAGGATGATGAATACATGTGGTTGTACACACCTACTGATATGACTAGGAGCCAGGGCCAATAACGCCTGTGTTGTGAGTTCCTTTGTCCATTCCACTCCTGCTTAGCCTCCCCTCCAACCACGGTCTCATTCATTAGGCGCAATATAAGTATTTTACGGCAAGATAGTCGGCTTTTAGCTCTCTGGTATGATGTTCATCCATAACTGGGGACTCAGCCGGCGTACCACTGACTTTGTTTATTGATTTGTATTGCGGCACGATAACTGAGGTGGTTTCCCCCTGCAGCTGACGTGTACAAGGTGTTTTATTAACCATGTCCGAGTTGGGAGCGGCTGCATTCATATGCTGAAATACCCCGGTCCGCTGAATTGCTAATGGTCCAATGACGCCCACTGCTTTGCCGGCAGGGGTGACGTGGGGCACAGAGGTGTGACCTGTGTCTACGATCGCAGGGCACACCGAGCCGTTTGGCTGTGAGAGGTGAACGTTAGCAAATACCACAGACACAATTGACCTATCATGCGGGGATCGTAGGGCAAGATCAACGGAACGCTGGCCATTCAGCTGTGAGAAGTGAACGTTAGCAAACACCACGACTACACTCGATCTGTCATGCGTAGATTGCAGGGCAAGACCAGCGGAACACTAGACATTCAGCTGTGAGAACTGGAGGTTAGCCAGACACCGCAGCCACACTGAAGGTGTCATGGTTCGATCGAGCGGTAGTCGGCCTTCACGCAGGCGAAAAGGCCAGTAAAAGAGTTCCCTGCGAAGTGCTTAGTAAGTCGCTGGGTTAGCAATTGAGAAAAACTGCCTGGCCGTATGTGATGACCGGTCGATGGGCGCCCTATTGCTATCGCTACAAAAGCTGTTATCGCCTCGTGACTGGCTTCCAACAAACCCGTAACCTTTTAGTAGGCTGCTTTCGCTGCTAAAGGGAATCATACTGTCGGGAGCGCATTGTAAGGTTACCGTGTTGTTCGCTTTACTGTTTCCATCGCGTGTGTGTTACAGCTGAAAATTCACCCTTCATGGGTGCATGAAAACGAATTCTTGACTTGACTTGACGTGACAATGCATTTAGATTTCAGTCTGCCCCGACGCACTGGTGGCACCCATAAACAGTACACAAATTTAGTCAGGAATGCAAATATTGCCCTCACCGTCAGACAATTGCTAGTTGTACAAAAGAATCAGGCCTTGGATGGTGTTTCTCGTGTGTCTCGATTTCCGGTTAATATTCGTTGAATGGAGCATTATCCAGAAAGACGATAGCAATAACAAGACCCTTTCAGTGAGACGTAGGTGATATCGGTTGGTCGATAATCCGTTCACGTAGCTGATCCTAGACCGAAATTTGAACGATCGGATAAATGGTCTGTATCGATTCGTACTGTGGCGTTCGCTCGGTAAAGTTGCAATTCTGACCGGTTCAGCATTGCACAGGAGACAGGTGGCCGCAATATTCATGAATCATACCAAAGGATGTATGAAATTTGATCATGGCATATCAGAAATACTAATGCCAACTATCTTAGCAGTGAATGTGGTTCCTGAATATGCATACTGAAATTCGGGAGCTAGTGCATATGCGTTTGTCTTCCAGACGATATGGAAATTTTAGTCGGGAGTTGCTGGTGTGTTACTGGTAATCAAGTCTGTAGACGTCCGCAAAGGCGTTGTAAACGATTATTTGGAGCGCGATTCAAAAGTATTCTCTAAAGAATGGCGTAAGGTTTTAGGAACAGAAGAAAAAACTGATAATCAGACAAACTGTGAAGCAGTGGGTGGTGTCGCCGGCGCTGCCACAGCTTTTAGCGGCTAATTTCCTTCGGAAAATTGAACAGCGCAGTAAATGACGAAGGCTGATTTGTGCGAGTATTGCTTATTGTTCCCTAAGTACCAGTGTCAATAGCCGATATGCTTATAAATGCTCAGTAGCGTGTAGCACTAAACAAGGTTAAAGTGCATCTTGGATTAAGAAAGTGTAGGTCTCAAGTTTATGGCGCCGTACGGCTGACAGACGGTTGTTTTGAGTGAGCCGAGTTGGCTTTAACTGGCTTATTGCAACAGTCCCAGTGAAAAGAAGGAAGTGCGGAATTAGGAGACGGAACGTAGTGATCAACACTGAGTTGGGTTCTGTTCAGTGACCCGTCGCCAATGGGTAGGTACCTGTTGACGAAGCCTGCGGTGCAATGGGGTGTTTTCATGTCTTAACCATTTTGCTCCTTACTTTATTTGAAAAGTCGGAGTCCCATCGGTTCTACACATGTAGTTGGATCCGTACCGGCATAAGAATTGATAAATGTAGTATGAGTTGCCCCGATTGGCTGAGATCCCTGCGTTGTATACTGGCTGGGTTTACAACAGTTTTTGCAGTCCAGGGAATCCAATATTTAACAGAGCTTACATACTTATTTGTCTTCAGCATGTCGAAAGCATCCGTAAACATCAACTTGGTGCGAGTATTTTTCTTGGTTGCTATGTACAGCAAGTCCTTCGGATGTTTTCCATGAATATTTGAGCACAGCCGTTCGCCATGAGTATAGCTCTAATTCAGTCTAGTTCCTTGGTCATACGATCGGTCGGGTAAATCCATCTATCCCGACCAACTCAACTTCTCATAGGCATTCAGATGCATTTTGTGTGTATGAAGCTGGCGAAATGTTAGTAGTGGTAGAACCATGTTGTTTTTCTGTAGTCGAGTCTCTCAATGAATCCGTCCTTCCTACGGTTCCTATGAATGTATACAAATAACAAGCAGACATTTTGTTATACTTTAAATGTGAATTGCCGGTACAGTGTTTAGTCGCTCTAACAACTACAAGATCTTCAGTGCGGCAAATGAAAGATCAAGATACCACAAGCATAGCATCTGTGACCGAGTGCCATTGATTGTCGGTGTAGATATACTTGTCTTTGTCATCAGTAGGGAGAAAGCAGCGAACCCTGGGTCTCATATGCAAGCCATTGTCACCCCATCTATTTGACGGCACAGTGTGCTCCGAAAGCAAGAGGTGACGCAGCAGCGGGTACTTTAGCAGCAATTCGACTAGAATTGGGACCAGCTACCAGAGAAGCGGGCTAATTAAACACGTAGTCAACATGTTGGTGCAGCTGGACGGTAATGGGAAAGGATTCCCTGTCCAAGGAACAGTTGACATTCACGGTGTGGAGAGAATTGCGACGCTCTTCATACCAATCCCGAGTGTGCCTCCAGATGTCAACCTTGACATAAAGCCACAACCTAATCACTACCTGTGAGACTTCTGTAATTCGTATGCTAGCCCTAGTCTGCTGGAGATTTGGTTCTCGGTCAAGTACCGTTCAGCATCCGAAATAATGGCCGTGGTGTAAGAAACTCATCGAAAGTGGTATGAGGTGTATGGATCGGTTTTCCTTAAGCTTGTTGTTTATTGGCTCACCCCCGCTTCTGGTCGAACTTGGCCAGCAGAAACGTATGCTCTTTGCAGGAACGTTGCCGGCTTGTTGGACCAGGGATCAGAGGAGTAAATGAAGCCGTTGAAGTTCCACCCGACATCCCCGTCAGTAGCATCAAGATGGTGTACAACTTAACAAAGCGGATTGGGTGAGCATATTTAATGTCTTCGTCTTCCGTCTCAGCCAGGGATTGAAAGTATACGCAAGGTTGCTTCTGACTGACAAAAATGCTTTATTATGTACCCTTGGAATAGTCTTATCAAACTGCCAATGTCTTTTGCCCAATGTATTGATCGTTGAAGTGATCCACTGGACAACGAAGTATCTGCCTCAGTGAATCCATAGGAAACACATTCTGTGCCAATATCACTTCGTACAACCTGGCGCTCATTTCTAGTACTTATAGATCAGGGAGTGGATAATGGTGCCAAGATTTTCTCTCAGCCGAATGTTTTGTTTGCAGACTGCTCGCCACCAGCCTGGGCAATGGCATAAGTGCAACTTCCAGTCCAAAAACGCAAGGATGCAGTCGTTGTTTGTATAGCGCAGTAGACAATCTAGTGTCCATATTTCCGTCCAGTAATTAATTAGACTTATACACCCTACTCTAAACAACTGGCAAGCAGTCAGTGCAAACAGCCGTGTTACGTCCATTTTAAACTACGGGGCGCATAGAAATTAATTATCGAACACTATAATTGTTGTGGAGTTATTCGCCAAGACGATGGCGGTTAACGAGCTGTGATCCGAATGCCGAGTTTTAAAAAATCCGGTTGCCATGAGTAACGTCGCCATTGAAAAGAACCAACTCGATGAAACAAAGCGCTTGATAAAGTGCAGGTACACAATCAGAAGACCAATCGGATGCCAGTAAAAATAGATGACATCAACCGTTTCTGTCGGGCTGAGGTTTGTTTGGTGGGTAGCGAGACGCTCATTTCGGATGACGGCGAGCACCTTTCTGGATGCGGATTTAGCCGGCATATTCCTATGGAATAACCAACTCGGTTAATGCCACTCCTGTGATAATTCACCAATGAGAAGACTATGTGGGATAATGGAGTACTTCGCCTCTGTGAATGAAGCCACCGTGAGAACAAACAATATACCCACCGCATCGGTACTTTACGGAATCGTCAAACCCAGAGCTAACGTGCTCATTTGAGGCGTCTACACTTTAACTCTAATGGCTTTTCTTATCTCAACAAAACATCTAACTGAACGAGTAATACATGTGGAAGATGCTTTTACTTACTTCATACAGATGTCGAAATATCTGTTTTTCCCAATGAGAGTAGTACGACACCATACGTTGTTGTGCACCTGTACTGGTCTCAAACACAGCGCCTTCCAGTTTCAACAACAGCGAGCTGATGGAAAGGTACTGCCTAGCCAGTCCTTCGAACCGTCTTTGGCGCTCAGCGGCGGTTTCTGTGAAATGTTCCTGAAGGTAAGTAAAAAAAGCATTTTCAGGGCAGCCGGAAGAAAGGTAAGGTACCAGCAGTGCACCGGTACGTAGTACCGACGCTTTGCTGCCTCGCAAAAACCGACAGTCGCGCGTGGGCCAAGAATACTGCGAAGGTCATTCGATCTTCTACGCAGGTTCGAACCCATGCGCTCGGATTACAAAGCAGCCTTGTGATCCTTTAGGCTACAGGTGGGCAGCCGGAGAATGTAACAAGAATGTTCTCGTAGTGTTTGAGGAGTATATAAAAGGAATATTAAGGGGTTAACGAATAATAAGAATCCCAGAAGCAATTTCGGTATGAATGTTGATAGGCACAATAAGTGACCTCAATGCTTCTGATATTCTACACGAAAACAGCATAATGCGCATAATCCCCGGAAGTGACGTACATAATACACGCTTGTAACAATGGAACAATGATTATGCGGGTAAAATAGCTGATGCTTAACAGGTCTCGTAGGATGGTCATGGTGAATGTTCAAACTATAAAAACAATATTGTTAGCAAAACTGGGTTTACAGGGAAAAACTCCCTGAAGTATACGTTGTAAGCTGCACATCGAAGGTAAATCCATAAGCAATGACGGCAAATGGGATGTTGGTAAACATCGTGTCTCCTTCTGACGTACACATACAGGAGGTGAAAAAGTGGAACGAAATCTTGGAGTTAACCGCCAGTGAAATCTCTTACAGACGCGTGTGTTTATCCATGGGTAATGAGTCATGTAAGGTTGTGCACGGTCAACTCTGGATTTGAACTCCGCCAGCGTGGGAGCACAAATGACAGATTCCGGTAGGGTAGACCATGTTCTGAAAACGCGAATGGAAAAGAAATTCCGACGGTATTCCATACGACTGTACTTCTCTGCCTGCTTGAGATCATGGCCTCTAAAACTACTGTTGTGACTGAGCTCTAGCAAGTACACTGGAATAATGGTATAATACGGATATAAAGTCAAGACTATTACAAGTCCTGTTGGATGGTTTGTGGAAATAAGGTTAGTTCAATAAAGTTACAGGAAAGAGAAAACGCATCTATGGAGTCACCATATTATCCACGTTACCAACATCACCATCATCAACAGCAGTACATCAGCCACTTGAAGTGATGCTTCCCTGCCACACAACCATGAGGACCTATGAAATAAAGAATAAGAAGAGGGGGAGAAGGGGGACTTACCTGAAAACCTTAATGTCCTAAGCAAACATTCAGGGTCAAGGCGCCTACACCTTGTGTAGACAACATACCGTCACAAACAGCTGGCTATCGTGCAAAGATAAGGCGACATCGGCGAGACAACTTCCTTGCGGCTTTCACTGCCACGCGGCATAATCATCCATTACCCCGCAGACAACTCTGCACCAAACACACTTTAACAGAGGAATCTGATTAGGAGACGGCAGCAGACGCGCCACTGGTGTCGGTTACGAGCCATATCCTGTAAAGTCTCGAGCCAAGCACAAGGGGTGTCACGTGGACTCCAGCCCGGAAGACGAGACGGGCCAACGGCACCGAGTTTGGTCGTCAGTGACTTCATTTCCCGTTGCCAAGTCAACTTCTGTTCACCTCGAGCTTCGCGCTATCCTACATCTGGAAGACTAAACAAGGCCCCCCTAGGTAAGCGGTGATCAGGCATGCGTAGCACGTGCCCTAGCCAAAGCAACTTATTCAGTGCTATCTGTTGTTCTATGGAGTTAGCATGATTAGCACCACCTAGTTCTCGCATAGGCACATCATCGTTGCGGACATGCTGGTGCCATCCGCCTCCAGCAATGCTTCGCAGGCAGCGATGATCAAAGATTTGAAGGCGCCTCAGCTCTTCAGACCGAAGGAGCCAAGTTTCATTGCTATAGAGCGGGACGGCCCTCACTGTGTCCTTGTATACACGGCCTTTCAGACGGAGGGAAACTCCCTTCTGTCTCCAAGGATGCCGCAGGTTTAAGAAGATAGCTCTGGCTTTTGCAATGCGTGAGCTGACGTCAGTTTCTATGCGCCTATCACTGCTGATGCAGCTGCCAAGATAAGTGAAATGATCAACCACCTGGAGTTCCTCGTTAACAAGCGTCAAGGGGTCATCAAGTGGCTGGTGGTCCTGCAGCAACCCTTTGCACTTTGAAATTGCAAAGCGCATACCAAATAATGGGACCACTCTGGACAGGATATTCAGGGTTGATTGTGCCGCCCCAACATCATCAAAAAGCAAGACGATATCGTCCGCATAATCTAGATCAACTAACCTTTCACCAGGCAGCACTTCAACGCCTACATCGTGAGATTCCGCAAGGGAACACTCCATGATAGAATCCACGACGAAATTGAACAAAAATGGGGAAATCGGACAACCCTGACGAACGCCACATGTGGTCTAAGTGCTATCCGATAGGACACCGTAGACCCTGACGCGGCCTGTAGTGTTCGAGTATATAGCACGAAGGATGTTCACATATTTCGTAGGACACGTTTCCGCGCAAGTATTTCGAATAGAATCGATCGATCGACTGAATCGAACGCACTCTTGAAATCGAGGAACACAGCTATTGTCGGTCTGCGGTATGCGTGGCGCTACTCTAGCACCTGCCGCAAAGTGAATATATGGTCTATACAGCCACGTCCTGGGCGGAAACCGGCCTGCTCTTCCCTAATCCGAGATTCCCGTTCCGCAGTGAGGCGACGAACGAGAACCGAGGCCAGTTATTTCTCACAACTGGTAGTAGACTAATATCCCTGTGGTTAGAACAGTCTGTGCGACTGACCTTCTTGTATAGTGCCACTGTATTCTGTTCGCTCCAATTAGCCGGGACACTCTTCCTTCCAGATACATAAGAATAAGGAGGTCAGTGCTTTGCAGAGGACCTCACCTCCATCCTTAAATAGTGCAGGTGGGAGAGAATCCGGGCCAGTGGCACGAAAAGGTTTAAGCGCTGTGATCACGTTTCGGACTTCGGCCTCTGACGGAGGCTCTAAACTAACCGTCCATGGCTCGTCCTGCATCACCTGAGTAGGAAGAGGTCCGGGAGCAGGGGGCCTGCTGAACTGATCTTGCAAGTGTTCCGCCCAACGAGCCATACGGCGCTCCTTATTGTGTATCAGTGCACCTGTGCTGTCTCTGATTGTCTCACTGACGCCTGGTTTTCTGGGACCAGTGGTGCGGAGTAGCTGGAAGAGCTTGCGGTAATTGCCTCTAGCTTCTGCCTCCTCCATTTCTTGAGCCCTACTGGTCCACCAGGTTTCCTTGTCAGCAGGTAGGCTCTGCTTTAGTTTACGCCTAATAGCCCGTCTGGTCAGCCGGAAGGTGTCTTCTAGATTCCAACAGGTTCACCGACCTCTCGGATATCCAGTGACTGGTGTGGTAAGCATTGATAGTGTCACAAGCAGATGCTCCTGCGTAGTGCATGGCGGCCGAGATCCTATTCCACTGAAGCTCAGTGTCATTAAGACAAGACAGCGGAAGATCGGTATGCAGTGCTTCTTGATAGGCTTGCCTGACCGAGGACTGAGACAATTTCTCCGTTGCCAATCTTAGGGGACGCTTGGTGCGCCTCCCGGTAAAGTTTATGGAGAAACGACAGCGTACCAAGGCATGATCAGAGTCGACGCAGGTACTCCAGTACGAGCGGCAATCCAGGATGGAACCACGCCATCTCTAACTTATGGCTATGTGGTCAATTTGTGACCATGGCTGACCAGCTACAGGAGGTTGCCACATGGCACTTCGGCGCCCACTGTGTCTAAAAGCAGTGCTACTAAGAAACAACTGGTGCTCCGCACACACTTGCAGCAGACGCTCACCGTTGTCAGTCCGTTCGGAGTTAAGCCCCCAATTACCACCCAGCTGAGCTTCTGCAGAGCTCATACGCCCTACTTGTGCGTTCATATCCCCTGCAAGTACTATAATATCTGAACTAGTAGCACTGCGTAGTAGCGCGTTCAGTTCGTGATAGAATGTGTCCTTGACTGCATTAGAACTGCAGTCGGTGGGAGCATAAGCGGAAATCACAAACAAACAGCGTCTTATGCTACTTCGTGAATCAACCTTAGCTGATGTCGTCAAACGGGCCTGCACATAAACGGCTGTTCACCGGAATCCAATCAACCAACGATGACTCAGCCTTGGAGCTTAGAATGATACCTACACCAGCTTGACCCGTGAGTGTTGCATCGGCGTCTCCGGATGCGTGCAACCAATAACGAGAGGATAAGCCGGGTGCAATTAATTCAATAACCCCGTTAGGGTCATTGCTCCTAGTTTCGGACACACAACACGCATCAATACCCAGTGTGTCCAAGATGCGTGCGAGTGCAGGCTGTTGATCTACTTGTCTTAGAGTGCGAACCGTTGAATGTCGCCATGGAAACGGGATAGCGTGGCCTTATAAGGGACGTTTGCCGATAGGCGTCCGCTAGTTGCTGTGGGATGGTGACCCTAGATGGTTTTACTCCAGTGGCATTTCGGTTGCTGTCAATTAAGCTGGAAATTATAGAAGGAAGGTTAGTAACGGGCGTCGGGATGGCAGTAAAAGGACAAGGTGGAAAAGAAAGAAGGGAGGCGCCGGCAGTAGCATGTTTTCGCTTATCCGCCCTTGCTGTATACAGTAGATAAGGCGACCCTTGATAATCTGTGCGACGGCCGATGCATGATGAAGTTTATGTTTGAAGAAAATGTCATGGTTGTATGTGGGCTGAGATACTGCCAGGGCGCCCAGACCTAGACAGGAGGACGATTAGGGTCCTCATCCAAAGCCTTTGGCGCAAAAGTCTGTCCGCAAGGCAGCGGGGAGGTGGCAATGATTTAGTTTTCCAGAAATGGACGCCATCCCATTTCAAACCGCTAATCTGGAGGACCAAGAGACTGAGTTTGTCTGACCTCTCACCATTGACCAACCTGGTAGGAGTAGCTCTCAAGGTGCCCGGAGGCCTCGCCCAGTATAGCTCAATGGGTCAATGAGGTACGCAAACCGTCGCACCACGTTAAGGTC